GTAAAATGTGCATTAAAAACTCAATCATCATCTGACCTATGGGTGGTTGGAGGGCGTTATTGATAGGTCTGACTTCTTCACTTTCTCTGTCGTTTCCATCTGTCTTACTTCTTCTCAGCACCCAATGACCAGTATTTTTTTTTATATGCTTCCCTTTACTCAAACAAAAACCAACAAACATCATACTCGATTGCGCATCGGACACACGGCCCTGACCCACAAATACCTCCTACAGGGAGAGGAGAAGCCGTTCTGTGTCGGATGCGACACAGATTTTACCATTAGACACATTTTAACAGAATGTCTAGACTTTGGAGAGATCCGAAGGAAATATTATAAATGCAAGAAATTGCAGGATATTTTCTCCGTCGTTGTTCCCAGCAGAATTTTAAATTTTATAAAGGCCATTGGCCTTTATGGCGAGTTGTAAAGTGAATCTGATATTATTTAAAATTTTTATTGTTACTTAAAAGTTGTTTTAGATCACAAATGTATTTACACCGAATTTGAATATTTTAACTTTTTAGCATTTTAAAGTAAATTAGTTACCAGTCGTGAAGTGAACTTTCGCAGAGGTGAACAACTTGTGTTTCGCGCGCTCATATGACCTTAGCAGTTGCGAGCGCCGTAAAACCTTATACTATACATACACAAACATCATCTTACTTCTTCCTTCGTCCATCCCCATTTCACGATGTGCTGTTCATCCATCCATCCCCAGGCGCCCGAGGTGATCATGTCAGTCAAGTACACAGCCAAGGCTGACCTGTGGAGCATTGGGACCATCCTATACCAGTGTCTGACCGGCCGCGCACCCTTCCAGGCCCAGAACCCACAGGAACTCAAGAAGAAATACGAGAAAACTCCAGGACTGAAGCCCAAGTAGGAGGCTGTTCTTTTTTTATATATGTAATAATGATAATGATAAATGAATAATAATAATGATAATAATGATTGTGATGACAATAATAATAATGATACTAATATAAGCTTTGTCAGTTAATGTCTGATGATAACCAACGTCTTGCTATGACCAATGCATCCACAGAGAATATTAGTGAAGGGAAATAATAGAATTAAAGGTTAAGATGTAAGATGACTTGTGACTTCTGCTATGAGACCAATTCTGGCAGAGTAAAGTTTGACACATTTTGAGCTTTTGAAAGCTTTACTTCCACTTGTGGATGTGGGCAGCTTGTGGCTTTCTCTCTTGGTCTCAGCATTTCTTATACATGAAGCATTCTCGGTCTGTCATGAGCAAGGCTCTTTCATGTGGTAGGATTTATGTTTAAGTCCTCTAGAGACGTTTTCAGGGTTTTTTTTGTAGTGCTTTTTTTGGTGCATCAACTGTATGCACTCTTTTATATGTTCAAACTTGCCAGACAATTTGAATTTCCCAGGACTGTCTTGGATTTAGCAGTCAGGAATCTGGGAAAGTTATAAAAAAAAAATTATCCTTTAATTTTCCTTACTTCACCTAGGTGGGAATGGGTGCCTGGCTATAGACAGCAAAGGATCTTGTCAGTATATTAGTTTTTTTACGCTTGTAAAATGGCTACTCGCACTGTGTGTTTACCAGGAAGTTGAGATTGTGTCAAAATGCTATCATTCATTATTTATTATTATTTCACAAGAAATAAATCAATTTGTTTTGTCCCCTCCAGCATCCCATCAAGCACGTCTCCCGAACTTAGGGACCTGCTCATGAGAATGTTGAAGCGAGATGCAGAAGAGAGGATAGGATTTGGTGAGTGATATGTTTTGATTTATGTGTTTTTTGCACCCCCCCATCGATACAATTTAAATCATGTAGGAGGTGCGCTTCTGACCTTCCCTGTTAGGGCCAGCCCGGGCTGGGAAGGATTTGACAACCTGACATTTTGAGTTGTTGTTGTAGTCTTCTCCTGGCAAGCGGATTTTGGGAGGGCACCACTGGTAGATCCTGCTTCTTTTTGTTTTTTTCCTTTGTTTCTGTCTGTCTATTGTGCCTTTTCTTGTAGGGAAATGGCTGTTTTAGTGTCAATGTTCTTCTCTTTACTCTAAATAACAAACAATTGTTTGTGAAAAAAAAGGTGGTTATAGTTAAAGTGTTGAATAGCTGTAAATTACAGCTGCTCTGCAGCACAGGGTTTGAGATTTTTAAAAAAATGTATAAATATTTTTGTTGTAAATGAGCCTAAAGGGTTGTGTTCTCATAGACTTTCTGAAGATATTTCTTGAACAAATCTCCCTTACTGTTTGATTAATGCTGGTAAACAGATTCTGTAACTCTAATGTCTCAAGTTGGTTGGACAACTAATTCTGTAGTTGTTGTGAATCCTTCAGACTTCAAATATTTTAGTTATAGGCAAATTAAATGAAGTAACTTAGTGGGTGGTTGGTTGATGTTCTGGTGTGTTTTGCTGCTTCTTCTTTTCTATCGAACTTCTATCGTCCTTATCATTTTTTCTTCTTTAGGTTTGTTACAGTCTTGTATCACCTCTAATCTTGGGCACTTACATGACTTAATTGTGTTGCAGGTGCCATAAGACTCTTGATGATAAACTTAAGTTATTCACTTTAAGAAAGTCTTCTTGATGTCTCTTTTCTTTTTCTTTGTAGCTGTCCAGGAAGTTTACTTTGAATTAGGCTTTTAAAAATTTCTTTTACAAACACTAAACATGTACTCTTTTTACTGTTTTCTATTTCAGAGGAGTTCTTCAATCATCCCTTCTTGAAATTGTCCACTGGCCCAAAAGGTAATTTTTTGTGTGTGTGTGTTTTACTTTTGGTTTTGATCGGTAAATGTGGTGGGTGATATAAATTGAAGAGCTTTGTTATATTTTTATTGGGCCACTTTTGCATGTACTTCTCCCATAGAAGGAATCAACTCGCTTCCTACTGTGAGCTGCATGGCATCTCATCTCTTGTGTGTTTGGCTTGTCCCCAGTGTCTCAGCCAGTGTCTGTGCCGCGCCGACGATCCAGCTCTTCCTCCGAGTCCTCTACCCCGGGAAAATCCCCAGGCAGAAACTCTCCCTCATCGCGCTGCAGCAAACGCACGTGCTCCCCCGCCCCTCCTCCCCCTCCTGTCTCCTCAAAGGTGAGATGTTTGATGATGTGTTGATGCTTCTGTGGGTTCATACTCTCTCTCTCTCTCTCTCTCTCTCTCTCTCTCTCTCTCTCTCTCTCTCTCTCTCTCTCTGTCTCTCTCTCTCTCTCACTCTGTCTCTCTTACTCATGTGCGCAGGCATGTGTGGAGACAGGCATGCACACACACACACGCACGCACACGCACACACACACACACACACACACACACACACACACACACACACACACACACACACGCGCACACACACACACACACACACACCGGCTGACTAAATCCTCCTCTCAATGTGTGACTACTGTGATGTCTCCACAGGTGACAGCTGAACACAAAGAGGAAGATATGGTGACCACTCTCACAGAGGCTGCTGGCTTCACAAAGGTGGAGAAGGAAGAAGTTCGCACAGGCAGATCTACACCAGAGGTGAGGGGATGTGTGTATGCTTCCTAGGAAGCTGAGAATGTTTCTTAGTGCTTTATAGTCTGCTGGGGGTAATTATATAGTGCATAGAGCTTGCTGTTCAGTTGGGATAGGCTGGTGGATGTCTTACACTGTGTCATTATAATGTAAAAAACATAGGTCGACAAAAATGGGAAGTGGCCTTTCGTACAGGTGATTGTCGACATGAAAAGTGGTTGTCTTAGACAGATGGACACAGTGTCAGTATAATGTGTAAAACACGCTAGCAGGAAAATGGAAAATGGCTGTTTGTACAGGTGATTGTCTTATACAGGTGGTCATTAAAGCCAGCTGGACTGTAGTGTTGCTCCTAATTAGAGTCTAGAACTTCTAGCTTTCACTGGTAAAATTAAAGGCCTGTGAGTCAGAACTTACTTGGGCAGTCGAAACAGATGGGTTACGGGGAAAGTTGCGGATAATATCGCTTATTTGAGAGCATTTGAGCAAAGGAATGAATGGAGAACCATGATCACAGATGTCTGTTGCAGTTTTGGTACTTGATGATGAAGTAAGTAACTGTCCCAAACTGGCATTTTTTAAAGAAAAAAAGCCTGCTTGTTGGAGAAATTTGTCAAATGCTGCACCCTGTTCATGTTTTCAAAGACACTTATGTCAAGATTAGGAGGTTTCTTAATTCTTTCATTGGTATTTTTTAGATACAGAAGTTGCTGAACTTCACATATCAATAAAGAATGTGAATTTCATAATTTGACATAAAATCAGCAATTTTAGGCAATGTTCATGTCCTTTAATGGTTTTAAGAAATGAGCAAAGACAATTTTACTTAGATTCTGATCTGTTTCTTTCAGGATTTTGTCATGGTTCCTGAGGCATTGTGTATAGAATCAGGTCAGTCTTGATTTTGTTTGTTTGTTTGGAGCTAGAATATTTTTGCAGGTGGTTGGAAGGTGCCACAGGCAGGTCCTTCTTCTTTTCTTTCTCCCTCTCTTGTTTCTATATATCTGTCTCACCTTTTCCTGCTTTAATTGGCTGCTATTGTTTCCATTGCTTCTCTGTCCTCAGCTATGAAATATGTTTAGTTGGGATAACTTTAGTTCCAAGTCATTGTTTAAGTATAGGCTGATGCGTCATATATTACTGAACAAAATGTAGTGTCAGCTGTTGTCTTGAGAAACAGTCACCCGCTCTGTGGTATTAATAATTGTTGTTGTTTCTTCTTTTATGTAATGAAATACGAAAGAGTTACTCTGCATTTTATCTATTTAATAATTTTTTATAGTTTTAGGTCTGATCCCTCAGTTGATTAAAATTCCTTTGTTTATTTCAAGGAGATCACATTTTTTTTTCTTTTTCTGTTATAGTGTGCCTTCTGCTTCATTGTTCTCCTTTTGTTTTTTCAATGTTAAAATGTTGGTGGTAGGCGGGTGCTGTGATGCAGTTTGCTCCTTCTTTCCTATTATAAAAAGATCAATCGTCTGTATCTATCCTCTTTTTGTATGTTTCTCTCTAATAACATCTTTAATCTTTGGCACTTATGAGACCAATTTGTGTTACTAGTGCCTTGAACAATTACTAAAACTGAAAGCATAAATTTATTGGAATCTGATGTTTTTCCCAGATGGTGAAGAAAGCGTCAGTGTGAGGAAAGCTCCTTTGGCTGAGGCAGAAATGTCTTTCAGGTCAGTGCTTGCTCTTGGAACTTGTCAGTTTTTTGTGCATTGTCTGTCTGTTGTGTACTATTTTTTTTGAAGAAAATAATGATAATGATGCTGAAAGTAATAAGATTAATATTAATAATAATGATGATGAGACGAAAATAATGATGGTAAAAAAATGAGGATGATAATTATAAGATAATATTGAGTTGATGATAATGAGAATAATGATGGTAATAGTGCTTGAAGTAATGATAGTGGTAATGGTAATGATAATAATGATAATAATTTTGATTGTGATAATCAATACTGAAGTTTCTTTGTTTAGTTTAGCACAGTGTGGCTCGTACTACTTTGCAATGTTAATAGACAAACAAAAACTGAGTACAGTCAAATTTGTCTAAGATGGCCACCCATTGTTGAGGAGTAAAGTGGTTCTCTTAGACAGAGGGACATTGTGGACGGTGTCATTGTAATGTTCTGAAAAAGACCAAAGGAGGGGGGTGGGGGTGGTCTTGGACAGGTGGTGGCCACAGCATGTCTGACCATACTTCTAGCATCGTTAAAAAAAATTATTAGTGTAACTGAAACTTGTTTCTGTTCATCCCTGTCTGAGTCAGTCAGTCAGTCAGACACCTGCTGTACAAAAAAGATGTGTAGGTCAGAAACACTGTGATGACTCTTGAAATTTTTACCTCTTTTTTCGTCATAGCTCCTCCACCCACCGCTCCCCCAAGTCTATACGCATCCAAGGCAAGGAGGCGGTGACCTTCTCTAAGGAGAAAGACGAGAAGGAGAAAGAGAGCTTGCCCTCCAGCCCGAGCAGGCCTGTCACGTTGCCCATGGCAACGCCCAAAACTTCTGAGCCCATCACCGTCCCATCGGAGATGAAAGGAACAGGGGAGGGGAGTGACACTTGTGTGGCGGATGGGGCCAACTCGGGTGTGAAGAGGAAAATCAAATCTCCCGATGTGCGAATGGTAAGGATTTATTCGGAAAGTAAACTTGAGTTGCGGGTGGTTGGCTTGTGCTCTGGTGTGATTTACTCCTTCTTTCCTATCAAACGTCTATCATCGCTATCTCACCTCCTTTTTTGTGTTTGTTACTCTCTTGCAACACTTTCAATCTTCAGCACTTATGTGACCTAATTGTGTTGGAAGTGCTGTAAAATTCTTATAAAAATTAAAAACTACTGGAGTCCTGTGCTCGGAACTTACTTGACCTACTATGCACTTTGGGGGTCACCAAACTTTGATAGTCATTCTCTTGATAATTTTACCTCTGACAGCAGGCAACCCCCACCTCTTTCACTCACAAATATCTTGACTTCTATTCAAAATAGATGGTGGGTGGTTGGAGAGCGCCACTGGTAGGTCCTACTTCTGTACTTTCCCCTCTGTTGTTTCTGTCTGCCTGTCTTACTTTTTCCCAGCACTAAATGACTATTATTGTGTTGATGTACTGCTCATTACTCAAATAAACAAAATAGATGAGAACTTTTTTCATCAAAAGCAAGACAAATAAACATTCTTGAAGATGATACCAATAACTTCACATGCCTAAAAATTGACGAGTGCCTGATTCCTCCGTGTCATGACACTATTGTCTCATGTGTCTTTCTCTCTCTCCCAGCAGGAGAAGGAGAACCAGGACCGGACTGTGGCCAGGAGAAACTCGGAGGCTCGACAGAGCGGTCTGGACACTGTCAATGCTGGCTCCTTCTCTCCACCTGCTGGTAAGTCAATCTGAGGTGGAATAGTTCGGCTCATTGCTCGCAGTCTCTTGCAGAAGATGTGAGTTTGATTCTTCTCTCAAATGAATCGCCTAAAAAAAAAAGACACTGTTAAAATGAAAAAGCATGGCAAGAATCTTGATTAAGAAGTGGCTGGAATTTTTGCAGGCTTTTGCTTTTTTTCAGTCGAAACAATCCCAGTTTTGTGTCCTCTGCTGAAAGTTTCTCTTCTTTTTTTCCCCCTCTCTGAAACTTCTTTAAAAAAAATAATCGGTATATCTTGCTTTTTTTAAAGGACAGTCAAAGCTGCGCTGATGAACATGTGCCCAAGACAATCACTTGTTAAAAGGACAACTCTCTGCTCATCCCCCTTGAGTTTTTAAATGTAATGATGACAGTGTCCCTAACATCCACCTGTCTAAGACAACCACTTTTCTCCTCAGCAATGCATGGCTGCCTGGACTTACCAATTTAGACTGTATTTTTTGGGTTTGTGCTCCCCCCACCACCCCACCCCCCTCAAAGGGGAAAAAACAATTCATTGTCTTTTAAAGTTTTTTGTTTCTTTTCTTCCAGTGAAGTTTTGTTATTCTTTGTGTTTAAAAGTTTTCTGTTTCTTTTTCTTCCAGTCCAGTTTTGTGTGGGCACTCCGCCTGGTGGGGGCACAGGGCCGTCGTGGAAACGCTCGAGTGTGGTTACCCCCCCTCCCTACAGCACCGGGAACCTGACAGGATCACCTCACCGGAGAGGATGTGAGTTCTTGCCAAGTTTTTGATGCCCTTTTTGTTTGCTTTTAAAAAAAAAATATATGTGCCGTTCAGCTTGCCTCTGTAGCGTTAGTCTCATTTCTCCCCCCATCCCCCCCGCTCTGTACTTTTATTTTGTCCAGATGCTGGTTAAAATGAGGCTCCTTTCACTAAAAAATATGTTTTTAGAAGTAAAATACATTGCGTTGCTTTGAGTTGAAAAAGAACCTACATGTTTGGAATTTTTGCTGAAAGAAATTGTCTTGCTTCAATTCTATTTTTAAAAATATTGTGGCGTAGTTTTTGCTATTTTGTACCAATTCTATTTAGTTATATCGACAGCTTGCTGCAACACTTTTAAAACTGATATTTTGGGTCAAAATTGCTTTCTAACATGTTTGTTAACCGCAACACTTTAACAATTCAGGACTGTACGTTCATCAATGCCGCATTTCAGCTCTTAAGAACATTGACTTCTAGCTCTAAAAGACCTCATTTTTTGTTTTTTTGCTTGTTCTCTAAGATTTTGAAAATGTCAGTTATACCCAGGCCATATTTATAATGCCTTTAAGTATTTAGCCATGTCCCTTTTGCTTCCTGCCCTTGGCATGCTGGTAAAGGTCTGCTTGAGCCCTCCATTCAGAACATAGGTAACTTACTACACACATCCAGGCTTCCCACTATCTGTGGGGCCAACATGGGGATAATGAAAATTGTGATAAATTACATTTATCAAGAGCGTCTCCACCAGGAAAGTGCTTAGTGCCCTTTGCAATTGTACAAAGTTGTGATCCTTTCTCTCCTTCCCTCTGTATCTCTCTCTGTCTCTGTCTCTGTCTCTCTCTCTCTGTCTCTGTCTCTCTCTCTGTCTCTCTCTCTGTCTCTCTCTCTCTCTCTCTCTCTCTCTCTCTCTCTCTCCAGTTTTACTATAATTACATTGATGAGAAAACTAAAAATGTCTCAGCAGAAAGATGCTATTTTATTAACTGCTTTTTAGACATGTTTAGGGAACTACAGCCTCCAATTATTTGTGTAATTCCTTCCATGTCAGAGGACCGTAATAGGAAAAAGGAGCTCTGTCCTTAAAATATGTAGTTCCCTAATGGTGAGAGTAAAATTGTTTTATCCCTGGATGACCTGAGACTCTTACCTGGTACATACTTTTACAGGGGTAGTCATGACAGCATGCACAAAAGCTTATTTTTACTTATTTTATGAAGGTGGGACATGAAGTAGACCTTTACCAGAATGTGTACCCATCCTCGCACTGCTTGCCAAAACACCCTTATCGCTTCCTCACAGCCATTTCACCCCCCCCCCCCCCCCAATTTGTTCTTGGTCCACAGCGGTCACCTCCCCCCTCTTCAACCCGCTCCAACTGTCCAACCCGTCCCTGATCCAGCCGCCGGGCTCCCTCCCCACAATCCTCGGCTCTCCCAACAAGATGCCCGCCATGTTCCACCTGGGCTCCTCGCCCCACGACAACAGCCCGGAACCGATCCATGCGCCCTTCGCCGCGGCGTGCATGCAGCAGCAGCAGGGTACAACTACTTCCTCTTCCAGCATCTCCTCGGCGGTGGTTGCGGGCAGCGCCCCCTATCACACTTCAAATACAGTGCCGGATAACTTGGTGGCTATGGCGCGGCAGAGAGATGGTGGGTCTATTCGCCGAATGGATTGGGGAATTTTTTGTTTGTTTCAGCCATGCCTTTTAAAACGAAAACCCTTTTGACCGTACCCTTTAAAAATATTAAACCCTTTCTACCCCGCACTTTAAAAAATGTTTTCCCCCCATGCCTTTTTTAACCCTTTCAACACTAGCTTTTATTTGCTTTTTAACCCTTTCAACACTAGCTTTTATTTGCTTTTTTAACCCTTTCAACACTAGCTTTTATTTGCTTTTTTAACCCTTTCAACACTAGCTTTTATTTGCTTTTTTAACCCTTTCAACACTAGCTTTTATTTGCTTTTTTAACCCATTTACACATCAGACTAAAACATTGGAGGGAAAAAAAAGGATAATAATGATGGTAATTGGAATTTGTATAGCACACATTCTGGGCTGCACCTCGGAATAGCGAGCTTGCGTAATACTTAATGGGGCTCGCGGGTCGGGTCTAGGGCCTCGGGGACTGATTTTCACTCACTCTGAGCACTTTTTGCTTTTGGTATTTTCCGATCCCTCATTCAGTCTAAATTTTGACACTAGTCGCTGAGTGAGTAACATTAACAGAATTCAATTTTACTGAGTTCTACGTAGTGTACTAACATTTTCGATGTTTAACCTTGTTTTTCTCAAAACACATTTTTTCACCACTTTTTGCTTTCATATGCTGTTTTTTTCTCCACCATTTTTTTATTTTCCAACATAGAGACTTAAAATTTGGCATGTAGTTAGAAAAATAGTTTGTACTTGTAATGGGCTGGTTAATTTTTAAAAGTTTTGCTCCAAGTTGTTTTTTACCATTTTTTTTTCATGCCCCCCAAATTAAAAGAAAACTAAATTCAATATCCCAACTTTGAGAACAATTTGGATATTTTCTAAGTATACTATAAAAAATTGAAAAAGCCAGCTGCAAGCACCTATTTATTTGTGACACTTTGCAAGTTGCAGAATTTAAAAAGTTAAAAACTGTAGAAATGGTGGAGACAAAAAAATTGTCTATCCAATTTTCAAGATGTCCGCCGTTTCCATTGCAACAGCTTACGTAATTGAGTGTGTCAACAGTTGAACATGAATCTTTTGTCTCATACTTACTGCCTGTGACAAAAGTTGTTTCAGTTTGTCTTTAGTTAAAAATGCTGTCCCCTAGGTATCGAGCCCCCTTAACTCTGGTAGAGCGAGCAGTTCTGACATTGGAATAGCGAATGTTTTTTCTGTACTATGTTATCATTAAGCACATGGTTTGTGACAGACGTTGGCAATCATTGCCTGACATTCATTCCTTTGCTCAAATACTTTAAAAAAAGGTATATTATCCTGATCTTCCCCTGTCACCCATCGGTTTGGGCATTCCAAGTAAGTTGTTAGTTGTTGTGGGTCTACCCTTTCCTTGTTTGCCTTCATTTTTACCAGTGAAAGTTATATGTTCTCATGTCTAATCAAGTGTCCCAGAAACTGTATTTGTCTTGACAAAATCATTGTCTTATAATCTTAACATACAGATGGTTGGAGGGTGCAGTTGGCAGGTCTTACTTCTTTTCTTTCCATCTGTCGCTTCTGTCTATATGTCTATATGTCTTGCCTCTTCCCAGAATGATATGACCGTTTTTGTATCTATGTGCTTCTCTTTACTCACAGTGAAACTCAAACTGAAATCTGACCATGTCATCTTTGTTTTATGTTCACCTCCAGCCCTGAATGAGATCCAGCCCATGGATTACCACCGTGTGAGCACAGACTCCAGCCTACTCTCGCACCAACTGCACAACCAGAACAGACAAGGTCAGTACTGCACACTTGTCGCATGCTCGGGCGTGGATTTCTGTGTCTATTGATTATTTTGGATCTTTCCTTTTTTGCTTTAAAATTAAGTCAATAATATTTTTCTTTTCTGAGTCTCAAATCATTTGTCACTTTGGAACGTTTGATGTCCCTAGAGCGACTGATTCGTTGGGTTTTTTTTCTGCTTTGTTTATTTCCTGGCTTGTATTTGACTAATTCTGTGTTACATTGATGTAGTTTGGGTTGTTATATCCAGACCTGCCACTCATCCCGATTTAATCGGGATATCCCGATTTTTTGCCCCAAATCTCAAGCATCCCGATTTTCCCGATTTCGATCGCCAGTATCCTGATTTTTTGTCGTTGCGTCTGTTGCGTCCGATTCTTAGAAAAAAATATAAAAAGTTCTGCAATCTCTTTTGCTTGGAAGCACCGTTTGGACTTTTTATCGGCAGGAACTTGGAACGCTACTTTCTGAAGCATCTATGCCGAATCTTGTACATGACTCACGGTTATTTCAACTAAAACCGACGTAGTATCGATTTTGAATTCCGGATACGCTCTAGATGTACTTCGCTTTTATAACCCAGAATTCTCCGACTGTGTCCTGATTACTGTAACAATTATGTCATGGGCCTAAGCATAATTTATTTGTTGTTGTGCCGTTGCTTTAAAACCAAGCTTGGTCTGAGTTCTGGTTAGTCGGGCCCCTCATCAAGACCTGTCAGTGGAACTTTCAAACGCTCATTCGCAACACATGACATGACCTCGTACGTGTGAGTAGCGCGTGTGTCGGGGGACCGTCGGCTGTCGGGGTCAGCAGAGTTCATTCACACCGGTCGCATTGGTCGGGGTGTTTTTTCGAGACTTAAACCAGGACGACCGGGGGGAGGGGGTGGGGGTATTGTTTTGACACTTGGGCTTAAAGTGCGTGCCGTGATACATGTAGAATCTACTAATTGAGGATAAAGCAATAAAAAAAAGAAGAAATAATTGAACAACCTTGGTGCGATCTTTTCTTCGAGGGGGGGGGGGGGGGGTGCCTTGAGTGTATATGCGATGGAAGTCAAACGTTGTTACTGTATGAAAACACGGGCTTTTTGCATGGATGCTTAGAGTTATGTGACAGCTATTTTCAAGACTACTAGAGTTTCAGCTTTACTGCAACCTGCGCTCCCCCACACTCTATCCCACTCTGACTCGAGTAATGCTGTCTTTCAGTTTTCCCTCTATTTGGTGGCCCAAACGTGAACTTATTCCTGCAAAAGTTTTCTCTTGCTTACTTTCCTCATAAAAGGGAACCAGGATCCCCCTTCCCCAACCCCTTTTGACTGATTTGCCGTTGATCCCGATTTTTTTCACCAGATCCTGATTTTTTAACTCTAAAATCCTGATTTTTAGATTTCATAGAGTGGCAGGTCTGTATATCTGTTTTATTTTGTTTTTTTAGGGGTGTTACTAACTCATTTTGTTATATCTGAAAGTTATTTGAGTTTCTCTTTCTGTTGTCCCCACATCTGCAACCGGCAGTATCATCATTTCTGGAGTTATTTGAGTTTTTAGGGGTGTACCTGACTCTGAAGGACATTTGAGTTTGTTTCTGGGTTTTTTTCACATGTGCAGCGGGCAGTAGCATCATTTCTTGAGTTATTTTTGTTTCTCAGGCATGTACCTAACTCGCGTTGGGTTTGCCGCAGGTCCCGTTGTGTCATACGGCAGCCGGGAGCGTGTGTCCTCCGTCAGCAGCGACAAGGACAGGTTTGGATCCTCCCTGGAGCAGGACCGCAGCCCCTCGTTTGTCCGGAGGAACAGCGGCATCGACATGTCCCCACCCCAGCACCTGCTGGTGACCCACTCCCCACCGCGCGGCCCGCCGCCTCATCACCACCAGCACCAGCAGACCACGACGACCGCCCCGCTACGGTTTGTGCCGCAGCCACTGTCAGAGGAGACTCTGATGGATGTGAGTTGTTGTGTTAGCTTCCACCAGTACCGCATTGTTTAACTCGGTTCACAGGGCTTATGTACATATGCGCTGATCCCATGTGTCAGCCATGGCCCGTCTACGTAAACAGAGGTATCACGATACAAAACCTAGCTCTTTTCCACATTTCCAGGTTTTCCAAAAAGAAATAGAATTTACCCTACCATAAGAAATAAATTGTCTTTATTCTAAGCAGAAAATATTTTTTGAATACTAATACAAACTACGGCAAAATAAGTTATACGACAACAAAAATATAAACCAACTTAAGAAAATGACTGTACAAGGGACACTTGTTTGTTTTGTCAGAAATGTGAAGAATGTGAAAGTAGCCAAATCTAGGCAGACCAGAAGATCAGTATGATTCTAGTTCCTTGAAAGGATAATAAGTATACTAGAATTGCAATAGGTGAATTGAGTGCTTATGAGCCGCAGTTTGATGAAGATTTATAGTTTTCTCCACTCTTATATTTCATTCCCCGCAGATATTTTAGTAGATCATCCTTAGTAAAATCTGATTAAAATTTCATATTGAGAGCTTAAGTAGTCTCAGCACAATGTGTGTTGAAAGTTAATGTGTCAAGCTCAGACAGTTTTTAAAAAATCCTGACTCGCGGCCATCCATGTGGAAACAAGTGCACTGCCCACGGTCACCCAAAGTGAATAGGATTAACCAACTTCAAACAAGTAGCATGTGCAAAACTCTGTGCTCTGTGGGAAAGCAAACAACCATTGCGTCGTCAAGCTGTTTCTTAAGTCAGGCAAATATTAGAAATTGACTAATGTTCATTTCACTGCATTGAAGTCCTCTGTCTAAATAAATTTGTCTCATCATGTTAATGAATCATTTCCCCTTCCTTTAGGACAACCACAATGAGACGTTGGGCAAGCTCTCCTTTGTCCTTGACCTAGTGGAGTGTATCTTGGACCTGGCACGGAGCCTCGGTAGCGCCTTCAGAAGTCTGGACCCATCAGAGGCTAAGAAGGTGGGAAGGAACTCATCCCTGGCTCTCGTTGTTGATTGATTAGAGCATGTTTTTTCTTGACTCAAACTGGAAAAAAACAACAAAATCACTTGACTAAAACCTACATTCTGTACACTGTCAACCTATTTCTGTTTGTTTCCTTTTGTTTTGTATTTCAGTTTAACATACTGTCATGTCTAGCATGCACATAATGAGTGTGTACACAGTGAAATGTGCACATAGTGAACAGATTTTCAGGTGCCAAATTTTTCTTGTACATGGTCCTTTTTGCATTAAAAGCGCATGTATAGTGAAATTTGTACAAAACAAAAAGATAATGCAGTTGCGAGTGCGGTAAAGCTTTTCCAAATGGTCAAAAAGGGAAAAGATTTCCGTACCCTGCTGATTTCACTGTGGGCATGCTAGATTTTAGTTTTGTTTTTTTCTTCATTTTGAGCATCAAGTAAGTCTTGACTCAAATTAACGTCTTCTGTTTCGTTGGCCTTTATCTTTTGATAGGTATTGTTATCGGTACAATCTAATCTTCAGGACCTATTTGTGTTGAAAGTGCCGTAAAACTCTTCACTAATACAATTCTCTAGTAACCTTTCTAATCTTTGACTGCACGTATATTTGTGTTGCAAATGTCATAAAACTCTTGCAAAAACAAATTTGTAGTAGCACCTCTAATCTTCAGCACTTATTTGGTCTGTATGTGTTTAACACCTCTAATCTTCACTACTTATATGACCTAATTTGCCTTACAAGTGCGTAAAACTCGTACTAAAATGAAAACTCTCTCGTCCCCTCCAGGTGGAGCAGCTGTCCCCAGAACACTACAGCCAGTACCGGTCGTCTCAGCGCAGCCTCGAACAGCTAGTCCTCTACGCACGCGCCTGTCACCTACTCAACTCCGCACTGCACATGGCTCGCGACGAGATCAGGAACGACAGACTGCAGCAGTCGACGAATCTGCGGAACGGTGAGTTTGGGGACTTGGGTTCTGGATGTTGTTGAGAAAAAGTCTAATATTAAAGACCACTATGTTATTGCAGACTGCAGGGCTTGAGAAGATTAATTTTTACAGTGGAATAAAAAAAGATAAACCTAAAAATAAGTACAGCAATAATAAATAGCATTTGTTTAGCACATTTCCCCACTCAACAGCAAGCTCTATGTGCTTTACAATATGTATTATTACCCCAGCAGACCTTAGAACACTTGGAAACATTCTTGGCTTCTTGGGAAGCATATAGTGCAAGCAGTTGATCAAGTGCTGAAACCCTGTCAAACTGACAAGATTTTTCACTGTCTATACACGGGCACTCATTTCCACCTGGGTTAAGTGAGGAGAGTTCATGTAAAGCGCCTTTCCCAAGAATACAACGTCTGGCCCCCCTGATGTTGCTAGATTCCATGACCTTTTGGTTGGGAGCTAACAAGTTTTCCCTATTCATGAAAATTGGGTCAGAGAGAAGCTCAATATGTTGCAGGTTTCAATTTCTGTCTGTGAAGAAAATGTTGAATGCTGAGATATGCCTGTTTGATATGATGGTTTTGTGCTCTCATGCAAGAAGAAAGGAAGTTAGTTTGATTTTGTTTTATTCTAGGACAAGTTTGTCAATTAATCATAAAAATAAGTACATTAGAAGTAGAGATCTTGGTCAAAATAAATTTGATCATTCTTAAGATAAGTGAAAAGAAAAAAGAAAAGCATTGTTTGCACAAGATGTATCCGTGACCCACTTGTGGCCCCATAGAGAGTGCAGACCCGGGATGCATACAGTCAGAATTGTCCAAGACAGCCACTCATAGTCGAGGAGAAAAGTGACTGTCTTTGACAGATAGCTATCAGTGTCGTTAAAATATTTTTGAAATACCCCCAAAACGCAGGGGGGGGGGGGGGGGGGGGATATATTAACTGTTTGTACAGTTGATTATAAGATCAGGTTTTTGACTGTAGTAAGACAAGCAAGTTCTGAAGGGAGAGCTCAAGTTTACTTTTATAGAGGTCAGGAAGTATGTTGCATGCATGCACAGTTCATACAAACTGTCGTCGGATTAAAAAGATTAAAACTTCAAACCTGTGTCCCGTCGACAGTGCTGGGTGAGATGAACACATACTACCACCACGTGGTGGACCGCTGCAAGAGTATCCACAAGGAGTTCTCTCAGAACTGCAAGACGCCGCTCACACAGAAGCTAGTCATGGCCACCGCTGATAAGCTCATCTACAACCAGGCGATTCAGATGGTAGGTTTTTAAAAAAAAAATAATTTTTTTTTTACGGGCTTTTCAGAACACTATTTTTAGATGGTAGGTTTTGGTTTGAGATTTTACTTTCCAGGCTATTCAGATGGTAGGTTTGGGTTTTCCAGGCTATTCAGAAAGCTTTTTAGATAGTAGGTTTGGGTTTTCCAAGCTATTCAGAAAGCTATTTAGATGGTAGGTTTGGGTTTTTATTTTCCGGGCTATTCAGATGGTAAATTTTGGTTTGGGTTTTTATTTTTGTTTTAAAGTTAACAGTTGGTTGGTTTGAATTGGATTTTGTTTTAAAGTTAACAGATGGTTGGTTAGGTTTGGGAGGTTTTGTTTTCCAAGCTATACAGATGGTAGGTTTGGTTTTGGGTTTTATTTTACAGTTTGACAGATAACAGATGGTTGGTCTTTTCTTTTTTGTTTGTTTCACAGTTGACAGATAGTTGGTTTGGTTTTGATTTGTTTTTGTTTCCCCCCGATAAGTTAATCTACTACCAGGCTATACAGATGGTAAATTTAGTTGTTTTTTTTTTGCATTGATTTGTTATGATTTTGCTTTCAGAGGTGGTCATATGACCTTATGCCGTTGCGAGCGCCGTAAAACCACTACTAAAAGTAGAGGTGGTTTTGTTCTCTTTATGGTTTTGATTTCCTGCCATTGCATCATGTTTAATGGTCATGATTATTTTTCAGGAGTACTTCTGTTTCATGAAAAAAAAGTATGTCAAAAGGGCAAAAATTAGAGATTTTGAAAGATCCGGGGAGATGCTGTTTTGATTTAGTTGTTTTTGCGTGTCTGAATGACCTGGGATGATGAAAAACTGTGGGTTTTCTTTCCAGTGTCAGGCGGCAGCTCTAGATGAGTTCTCACAGACACCATCGACGGACAGCATGGCAGAGGTAAATGCTGTGGGATATCTTTCCCATCAGTCTCGTCTGTCTGTTTGTTAGACTGATGGCTCCCCTGTTCGCCCTCTTCCCCTCTCCCCCCCCCTCTCTCTCTCTCTCTCCTTCCCCCTCTCTCTCTCTCTCTCTCTCTCTCTCTCTCTCTCTCTCTCTCTCTCTCTCTCTCTCTCTCTCTCTCTCTCTCTCTCTCTCTCTCTCTCTCTCTCTCTCTCTCCCTCCCTCCCTCCCTCCCTCTGTCTCTGTTTCTCTCTCTCTCTCTCTCTCTCTCTCTCTCTCTCTCTCTCTCTCTCTCTCTCTCTCTCTCTCTCTCTCTCTCTCTGTCTCTGCATTTGTATGTGTGTGTGTGTGTGTGTGTGTGTGTGTGTGTGTGTGTGTGTGTGTACCTTTTTTCCTTGCACTAAATGATCATCATGGTTTGGATGTGCTTCTCTTCACTGAAGCACACAAGCTGAAATGGTTGAGGCAAATGTGAGTCCCATTATTCCCCGTTTGATTTATACTTTATTGCACAGAGTCTTGGAGTGGGTGGTTGGCAGGCGCTCTTGTGTGGTTTGCTTCTTCTTTCCTATCAAACATCTATCGTCCTTATCTCCCCCTCTTCTTTTTTATGTTTGTTACTCTCTTGTAACACCTCTATTCTTCTGGCGCTCTATGAACGTATGCAGTTGCGAGTGCTGTAAAACCTCTATAAAACTAAGAGTCTTGAAGAGTCTGAAATCATATGCAAATATTTAAACATTTTCTATTGTGTATTGTGTGTTAAAAAAAAAAAATGGGAATGAAGTTTGAAAAGTGTTTAAACTGTGATGTTTGGCCCCTGTTCTGACCTGGATTCATTATATGCTATTCCCAGATTGTACGTCGCTACCAAGTGGCTCAGATTTTGCTGCACAGTTTGGCACAGACGGCCCGGAATGAAAATGACAAGCATATGCTGGTCAAATGTGAGTGTGTGGAAATGTTACCAGTTTGTGTTTTATTAGAGCATGGGTTGGGTTTTTATTCATTCTTTTGGCTGAAAAAGAGGGAGGGGGGGGGGAGGGGGAGCTTCGAAGAGCTGAGAGAGAAAGAAGAGAAGGACACAGAAAGAGATGTTTAGGTTTGTAACCCGTACCATACTAACTTTAGGTCTGCAGAAGTAGTCTGTTGAGAAAATGATGCAGAAGCAGTTTGTTGTATATAGATATTGAACAAGTGTATATGATATAATCTCTGGGGTTTTGTAAGGAAAGGAGTTGGAATGACATGTTGTATCATAGTCAGCATCTTCATCCCTCTCTTTCATTGGAGGCTCTCATGAAGGAGTTACTGCTTATTATAAAGTTAGTTGCCCCAATTGATGAGATAAGATAAGGTAACATGAGATAATGTAATACTTCATTGTCATACGTGTGAGAAGTTTAATGTGCCTGTACAGGAAATGTAATGAGATGTTGATATACATTGAATTTAAATTGTATGTTACTCACACAAAAAAATTTCAATACGATGAGAAAAATAATGCTAATAATGATTACAACATGTCGCATTAAATGATCTATACTTTGAAATTAAGATTTCATGTGGTTTAGATGCAAGAAGGTTTTTAAAAATAATCTTCTCAGATGGCAAGTTTGTGAAACTCCAATATAAAGAGAAAACTAAAGCTGACAATATTACAACATGTCATATCAAATGATTTATAATTTAACATTAAGATTTCACGTGTATAACATACAAGAGGGTTTTTTTTTTCATCTTTTCAGATCGTAAGTCTGTGGAGAGCCGCCTGTCTGTGCTGACAAGGGAGGGAAGTCACTTTGACCGACACAGCATGTCTCAATACCAGCAAACTGTGGACAACCAGCGCTTCCAAATGCACTCATAGCACGCTCCGCACCCACTGGATATTCAGACTTGGTGTGTGTGTGTGTGTGTGTGGGTCTGTGTGTGTGGGTGTTCTCACTCATGTGTTTGTGAGTGTGTTCCCCATCGGTGGTAGGGGACGGAGTCTTGCTGAAATGCTCCTCTCCTCTCAGCTACCACCAGCGGGGACAAAAGATGATAATTTCTTGGAGATGTGTAGCAAGGCTGTTGAGCGTACTGGATGCGTAGAGTGTTTTTCCGACTGCTATACACTATGCTGCTACGAAGTCATGACTCGTTTCTGGTCAGTTATTACAAATGGTGCATTCGTTGTACACAAGAGAAGTCTGGTATGGAAATTGATGTGAAGTGTTGATGACTGACGTACTGAACGGACTGAGGTTGTGGATTGAAAGACTTTGTGAAGGTTGCTACTGTAAATATTCACATGTTTCTTTGTTCAACGTGGTTCAAGTATGTGGTGACATTACAAGACGTGCAGAATGGGAAAATGTGTCGTGACGTAACAGACAAAATATTCTAAATGAAATACAGTGGGGGTATTTGCCTGAAGAGCATTTAACGAGGCATTGTTATTTTTATAGAACTCGCTGTTCTGTCTGTATTTCCCTTCTCCAAAAAGTATTGTTCTCTGTCTCATTCATGTATGAAGTCAACGTTGCTGCCCGCTGCATTCTCATTATGTTTTCTGCGAGATGGAAAGAGACTGAGGCGAGTTAAGATACTGGAGTGTGAACTCCAAAGGACGGAGGTTTAAATTTAAAAAAAAAGCACAATTCATCTTATGGGATCCGGTTAGCCTGTTGGTCTCTGTGATTTCTGGATTTGCTCTGAACTCTGTGTGGAACTGTGTCTTTCGGTTTCCATAGATGGAACATTAAATAAAACCAGAGAGGGTTCTTTTAAAAAAAACAAGCAAACCCCAAAACCCAATCAATCAAAATGACCTGTGCTCTTGAATTTTTTTTTTTTCTGTTCGGGTTTCCCAATCCCAACTGCTCACTTTCACAAAGATGTCTTCACTCCAACAGCTGTTTTTGTACTTCATATGCCTTACACAAGGATATCTGTCAAGACTTCTCAAAGAACTACTTTAAGACTTCAAGTAAGTGACTTCTTCGCCTGAAACGACAAAAAGAAATAGTGGAGTTTTCTTTTCTTGTGGAGAAATCCTGGATTTACTTCTGCTGTGCCGAAATTTTCCGCTGTGAACTGCAACCACACAGAGACACGAATTGGACTCTGTAAAGATAAATTTTGGCATTCACTAGTAGATTTGTGTCATCTTGCCTAATGGTGTTTTATTTACATGTATATATACATATATATATAATGTGTAGGTATATGTGTATATATATATTTATATATACATGCCAACTCAATATTCTCATGTACACAGTATGCGCTAG